AAGCTACACACACGAGTGGAAAAATCAGGTTTGGGAAAAGGGGGCAGGAGGAGAGCTAATACTGGCATATGGTGCAAATGGAGCATGTAGAGCTTGTTTTTTTTCCCCTTTCTGTATTTCATTCTTTCTTTCTCGCTGAAATGTATTATTTCTTTTCTATGACTTGCTGTGAGTCCTAAAATCTTTCATGAGGCATTGATGGTCTTATTAGTGAACCCACAGCTGAAATAAGCCCAACATCTCTCCAGTCTTGTGCTTTTAAAATTCATATAAAATTTTTTAATCATATTTCACATGCTGAGACAAACACAGCTCACTCCTGGCTACTGATCATTTGATAGGATGATACAAATGCTGCTCATTGATTTCAACTGTAGTAAGTTTCATGTGAGCAAAGGGAAACCTGTGACTACAAGTTCACCATTGCAGGTAACGCACCACTTGGCTGGTTGCGTAAATCACGATAATTTACAGCAGTGACTCACTTGACTTAATTTCTCACACATTTGGATTTTGAGCGACAGTGTGGGCCTCATGGATGCGGAATAATACAAATCTTAGCTCAACTACATAGTTACATTTAATGAGCTATGTTTGGAGAAGCACAGTTTAGGGTCGTGAAAACCCAATCTGATTTATCCATGCATGGTGTGAAGTCTTGGGTCATCAGAGAGATTCAGCACACCTGTTCCAGCTCCACTATCAGCTGGTTAACAAGTCTGTCTCCTCTCTCTGCTTTCCATCTTGTAAATCTTTCACAGCACACATTTTGACCTGTCACAGTAAGGAAAGCACAAGTAAAATTAATGATGCTTCACTTCCTTAAGTGTTCCAATATTATAAACCATGACAGTGAAACGCCAAACACTGTATATAAACGATGGACATACCCTCCAGGTATGATGTCACTTCAGCAGTGTTGGGAAGGTTACGTTTTAAATGCATTCACTACAGATTACAGAATACATGCACCAAAATGTAATTTGTAATGTTACTCAATGTGAGCAACATACTGTGAATACTTTGGATTATTTGGTATATTGCGAGTAGCCTTCAGTAATAGTAATAAATCACACAGCAATAGTACATCGAAGGTACTGAAGTGGCACATGACCCAGGTAGCTACCTCAGCTACAGGTAGTTGCAGTAGGCTAACATTTGTTTTTTAAAAAGAACTGACTTCCAGATGTTTCTTTGGGTTTGATGCTGGGAGCAGCTTGGTTGCTGGCAAACAGAGTTTGCATTGCACAGTCATATTCCCCCATTCCTTTCTTCTTTAAATGTGAAGTGGTGTCGGAATTGCCAAATAAGAAATGAATTCCTGCCCTGCTGCCTCTGTTGTGCTGGCTCCGGGTCCATTGTTTAACTGACGCCACCAAAATTAGCAGGACGTTGTTACATTAGAACAGTTTGTTTGGGTTTCTGGCAATGCGTGGAATTACTAAAATTAGATTGTGGATAGCCTAACATATGAAACTGGAAATGACCGTTGTGTAATCCATTTATTTCAACAAAGTAGCTGTATTCTAATTATCACCTATTTAAATGGTAACTTTAACGAAATGCAGTTACTCACTTCACCCGTTGCCCACTGGTGGTGGCCAGAGGTGGCGCCAGTGTCCGGCAGCCTCGCCTCTGTCAGTGCGCCCCAGGGTGGCTGTGGCTACAATGTAGCTGCCATCACCAGTGTGTGAATGTGTGTGTGAATGGGTGGATGACTGAATGTGTAAAGCGCTTTGGGGTCCTTGGACTAGTGAAGCGCTATACAAATACAAGCCATTTACCATTTACTCCCCAACACTGCACTTCAGTTTTTCACTACTCAGTCTTCAAATATCAGACAAAAGCAGAACTCAGCTCAGAGAAAGAGACTGTTATTTTTAGCTATTTATTTTAGCATGACAAAAAAAATAATGTTGACAACCATATACTAAATTAGCAATGAGTGTGCAGATACCTACAGATAGCCAGAGTGAGAGAGAGAGATGGAGGTCTGGGCTTTATCCTGGTTCAGCTGAATACTTCACCTGAGTGGAAATCGAGCATCATCAACACACCTGTGCTTTCCAAAACATGCTTTGGGTTTGTTGTTTCATTTATCATGTCGTTTTAACAGGCAGAAGGTTTAGAGGGATGACAGCAAATAGAGAATATGACAGAATCAGGGTAACCCCTGATTTTATTGATCCCACATCAGAGGTTTAAATTCAGGCTTCATCTGGTATCTGCTACTTCTGACATGTACTCAATAAAAAGCTAAATGCATGTAATGTTTATGTAGCAATATTTTGATTACGCGCTTACCTTATTGTTCATATGCAAACCCCCCCACCCCCCAAAAAAAGCACAGCAGCAAAAAGAAAAAAATTGGAGAAATACTAAATAAGCTGTAAATATTTATTGTTTATTTGCACAAGTCCATTAAAATCTCCAGCGTCAGCCTCCAGCCTCTTCTCTCATTCTTTTATGTCTCTGTCTATATTTCTGCAGAAACAAAAGCAGGAGTGAGTCAGCCGGCAGAGGAGAAGACAAAGAAATGCAGCCTGAAGACAGAGAAATAGAGCAGTCCTCTGTGCAACACAATGCTGCTCAGTCTGCTCAGTCAGCCCTACACAATGACAGAAGATTGTGTCTGCAGATTCACTTTTTCAAAACATCAGGGCTTCAATATTCCTCTACGGCCAGGCCTTAGTTACCACCTTGAGAAAAAAAATCAAAAGTTTCTACATTTATTTTGTGTCACAAATCTTGTGTAGAGAGACAGTTGTATAATTATGTTTGTTTTTGTTAAAGCTCCCCCCGCACTAAATTAAAACTAGCCTATTGTATCCCCCAACTGGGATTTATTATCTGGTTAATGGGACAAGCTTTCATGTCTTACTCACACATATATTATCATAATCTGTCACAGGTTTAATATCCCGTTGATTTATCAAAGACAACAAATATTTTATTTGCAATCAATGTAGACATTTTCAATCAATTTATACGTGCCATGAATTCAACATTTATTGTTCCATCTCGTAGCAATAAAATAGCATCAGAACCTTGTAAGTAACCAGAGACAAAACCTTCAATTTAAATTCAAATGCCGCCTCGTATGAGCAACCAGTAAAGACAGAAATAAATGTGGGTTTACTGATATTTTATAGTAAACCTATATTTGGAATTTTTAACAACTCGGTTGATATTTACAAATATTTTTAAGACCAACTGCAATTTTATTTACATTATTAATAATTAGTCGATTAAACACATGGAAGAAACTAGAAAGCCATTTTTGATCATAATTATGATTTCCTTTGGCTCCAGTGGGTCACAAACTGTCGAGCCTGCCTAGTGGGGCAGACAAGCACGGTGTGTGGGTGGCTGTGATTACCAAAGTTACAAAATAAGGTGAGACTAAACTGACTGAAAAATGTAAAAAGAGGCTAATGACCGTTGATCTGTATTTTGTTGAGCTGTCATACTTGCTCGACTTTTGAAGGCGGGCGTGCCAGAAAGTTTGGTAACCACAGCCTTGAACTGTGTCTACACAGAGCACATTTCAGACCTTTTCTTCAGACATTTGTCCCACATATGTCTGACAGAAGAGTCGCTCATAGGGTAATCACACTGGGCATTAAATGAAATTAAATCTATAGAAGTCTATTTTCATACATTCTGCGCTCACAGTTGCAGTGATTGCGTCCAACAAACTTTTACACACACAGAGCTCTGTGTAGATGCAGTTTCATGCTCTGCAGTTCTAAACAGACAAAACGTATAATGTCATTTCTTGGAAATATTTTTAATGTGATCATTTCTAGATGAAATGATTCACAAATAATCCCAGAAAACATATTTTTCTGCAACCTTAACATCATCCCAAGCCTGCAGGTATTGACTCTGTAAACAGATGTAAAAAGAAATCCAGTCAGAAACCAGTCCAGCCATCAGAAAAGTAGACTAATTATACTGTAACAGCTGTCATTCTGGTTTTGTTTTCATTTTTAAGAATAGAGAATTACTCCCGATACAAATAGGAAGGCACTGCTTGTTGAATGAGAGAAAACAGAAAAACCAACCTGCAAGCTAAAGTGCAGCACATTAAACCACATCTAACTGCTGGTCTGACTCCCCTGGTTATGTTTCAGGGCCACTGCTAACGATTGCCTGTAGCTTAAAGGCTACAGGGCAGATATGTTTACTTAGTTTGTTATTTACGTGGCTAAGATTCAAACTCCTGTCAGTCAGTCACACACATGCAGACAGCTGAAGAGAAGCACTGCTGACCTTTCCCCAAAGTCATTTTAGTTCTTTTTAGCATAAAGGGAGGGAGAAAGCCTGTCTTTAAGTCTTTAAACCCTGTGTGAGCAATTGTTACTCAATAAGAAGTAGAAAGCTATGTCAGCTTACAGTAATGCATGTACTGATAACTAGACTATTACCCTTCTTGTAAATGTCTAGTTGATAAACAGGGTACAACCGATCGTCTCTAAAGCTCCATTTGCATATTTAGGATTAACAAGGAGGAATCCATCCTCAGTGAGTAAATTGCACCCTCATTTTTGACACATGAATGGTTCTTGGGAATTTAAATTCTGGTCATGAAACACCCTCTTGCATGGCACTGAATGTACAGTGACTTGTTGTCTACGCCCAAGGTACTTACTGTGCTTCATTTTGTACAAAAAAAAAACAACAAATTTAAACACTTTTTTTTAACTGCAGCATTTTATTTGTATTCTAGTTTGTAACAAAGACATCTTAAAGTCATCAGCACACTAAATATTTGTCATGTAATCTGTCTTTGTATCACTGAAGTGGCATCATGTGACAATCTTTCTATAACCTTCACATCATACTTGACATGTCAAAATGGAATAAATGAACAAAACTAAATCTGAAGTTTCAGTGTCACTTTAGGAGATTAATCAGCCACAGCAACAGCCGTTTGTTACTCAGTTGCCAACAATGGTCACTTTATCCACGATGAACAAGAAGAACAGTAAAACATTCCTCTGCAAGCTTTGTTTTTCTCCTGCAATGTATTTATGGGTAAACTTGTTTTTTGAATGGTAGTAGTGTACTTTACTTGAATAACATGGACTTTTTTTGTTCTAGTTTTACTTGATTGATGATTACATCTGTAATCTAAATTTGTTTGATACAATAAAATGTTTAAATTGGTGATTGTTTTCTTTTTTTGTAGGAAAGATTATATGAACTTCATCAGCAGCGTTAGCATGAAGATGCAAAGAACCAGGAGAGCTTTGCCCATTCAAGTGTCAAAAAAAGAAAACCAGATGCATTTTAGCAGGAATTCTTAAAGCTTTCACGTATCGTTGCATCATTGGTCATGCGCTCAGCTAAAGTTGATTTTAACTTTACTCTAAAAATAGACGCTCTGCTATTAAATAATTGAATGCAATCTGAAGCAAGAGCATAAAAGCACATATATTTTTCATAAAAGGACAAGATTTCACAAATGCATTTTGTAACACTGCAGCAGTTTAAGCTGCGTGGGATACTGTATCTTTACAGACTGCTGTGAACAAGTTTTGCTGTTAAAGCGTTTCACCTTTGTGATTGGGGGTGGACATAGTGAAGGATCCTTTCAGAATAAAAGCCCAATTGCACTTTATCTGTTAGAGAGACTTAAAAAAATATTTTGTAATGTACATTTACGCTGTTGCACCTAAAATTTAGCTGAATTATAGAAAGGATATCCATATCTTACAGAACAGTTTTTTCTTTAACACAAGACTCTTTGTGTAACAGTCATTACTGTCTTGCTGTGTGATGGATTTATATTCATTTTATATTCAAAGTGGGTGTTGGGATGGAAGCTCAAATCATGCAAATCATACTGACAAGCAGCAGAGCTGTGTCTTCAGTTGTTGTTGTGGCATTTATTCATTTAAAGACTATCAGCTGATTCAAATTAGAAAAACATTTTTTCCCATCTGTTGTAAGAAGAAAAGCGATGGTGCAATTCCAAACTGCTTCACTGACGAGCATTAAAATATGAAGCTGGGTGTGAAGCTGAACTACCCCTGGGCCATTGCAGTCTTTGCTCTATAGCTCCTCTTGCTGGGAGAGCAGAGAACACTTTAAATTTGAATGCATGCTTAACCATCTTCTTTGATAATTTTGGCTGACCAAACATTGGCCTCTACCTCTTTATTATTTATTATTACTACTTATTCCTTAAAGTATTTCTCCCTTTTAAATTCTAAAAGCCTCTTTAGTTCACTTGCATTATTACTTTTTAATTCATTATCATTATTTTTGAGGTGCAATAACCAAGGAACTATGGTATGATTGCTTTCTAAATGCAAGATAATTAATACAGACCACAGTGAGTAATATCAAATTTTACCTTCTACAATAAAGGCTCTTCAAAAGAAATTTAAAATATTGCTTTTAAGTAAAAAAAAAAAAAAGTTAACTGTTGTATGTTTGGAAAATGCAAAACATAACCGATTTAACTTAAGTTCCTATATTGAGTTGTCATGTCTGGATCACTGGCCCATGTGTAAATATGTCCCAGACAAAGAAACAGACTACAAAAAACTCATATATGACACAAAGTTTATTTTAAGGTTAAATGATTGTTTTATGCTTTGAAAGTTCAAATGTAACTTACAGCTGTTTAGATGACAAATTAAATTAATGATATGGACTAGACTGTATAACATGACCAGCATGTGTACTTTTGTATTTAAATTATTGTAGTATGCTACATTTAAAATGAGGAAGTTTCTGTGATTACGCTACATCTTACCTTGGTAAGATCTCTCAGTTTTTAAAGTAAAAGGTATCTGAGTTTTGTTACAAAAGTGTTACTTTTTTCTATTCTGCAAACGCGTATTACAAAGGAGCTGCTGTCTGCTATTTTGTATCTGTAGTGGGGTCTTGCAGGGATTTTTCTGACAACACTTCTTGTCTCGATCGCTGCTCTTTTGTCTCGCCGGGGTCTGAAAATCCTGGAGGATATAGAAGATTGGGAAAAGACATCAGAAAATCTATTTAGGTTGAATAGAAAATAATATCTGTATGAATTCATCTCAACATGAGATCATTCTAAAATGAATTTAGATAACAAATCAAATCAAGGGTACTGAGCGCATTTATGGAACAAAGAGGCTTTTCCTAAGCCAGATCAGCAACAGGTCTTTTATTCTACTTTAAAAGAGGTTGTCAAGCTTTTTAAAGGTGATCTTTTTAAATTTGAGTTGTTGAAATATGTGCGAGCAGAAAAGGAGACTAAGTAGAATATAAAATTAAGTATAGACATTTAAATAAAACCTCAATTGTGTTTATTTTCTTTATATTTTAATGCATATTTGTGATTTTTGCACGTATAAACAAATAATTATGCAACCCACCATTTGAGCCACTTTCCTTCCATTTGAGCTTGTTGTCCTCAGTGTGCCGTGTCCAAGTAGAGCGGAAGCTCACCAGCTCAGCTGTGATGTGTGCGAGGCTCCACTGCAGGCCTCTGGAGCTCTCCTTCCAAAGATTACTGGTGAAAGAAAACAGTGCTGTTTGTATGCATATTCATATTCCAGTCATGAAAACAAATGACTCAGCTTAACCTGAGATTTTCTACACCAAGGTAAAGGATTGCACTTTTTTTCCATGAAATTATCTTCAAATATATCTTCAATAAAAAGAAAACAAATTAAAAGGAAAATAAGCAACACATAAACAGGATTTTGTGGTGACACTTTTGGGTCCCTACTGACTTTGGTTATCCTTCTGGTGTGTCTAAAATGAGCAGTTACTGCTACAAATTTGGAGATTAATTCACCTTTGAATAATGATCATGTTTTGTCACTCAAAATTATCAAGTCATAATTACAGGTTTTTGACCAACTCAGCAAATGATAGTAACATAAAAAACATGGTGTACATGATCAACATATACATAGAAAGCAAAGAATTAGTGAAACTGCAAGCTCCAAGTGTAAAACTGCAAAAGAGCCAGAAACTGAAGTTTCCTGAATAACCAGAGCTTGACACCAAAAGCATGTCAAGTAGACCTTCACGTTAAACTGACCAGCTTTACAGCATAATTAAAGCCTGAAAAAAGTTTGAAGTTAATTTCCTCCTTTTGGGACAACTGTATAGATACATTTTTTAATAAGTCCCCAGTTTGAATTCTATTAAAGCTAAAAAATGATGCAGTGTCAGTGCTGTGTCTGTCCATCTGACAGATGGAGCCATTTAATGACTAATTGTACTAAGACACACGAAGGAAGTAGGTTTTCAAGAGTTTTAAAATCAGTTTTAGTCAAACTCTGTGTGCCACTCAATATCACAGTAAAAACAGACTTCTAATGTGTGTCAAATGCTTTGGTGTTAACACTTTGTTAACATATTAATATCTAAAACCAAAAGTGCAATAAAGTTTATTTTCCCAGCAGGTTTCACAGGCCTTGTGTTTACCTATGTCTGTTGCAGGGGTCTGGTGGACCTGGGTTCTCTTCCACCAAAGGAATAACAATCTTTTCAGCCATATCGGTCAGCAGAGAAAATGTAGGATACACAATGAAGTCTATGAAACCTGCGAGAACAAAATCCAGCATATCAACATGTGAAGTAAACTGTTAGTGACTCAAAAATACTAAAACCTTGTTACGTCTTTAATGTCAGTAAAGAAATTTGAGTGCATTTCAGTGATTCAAACACTAAAATTCAAAGGGCATATGCTGCAATATCACTGTGAACTGTTAAAAATAAAATGAACATAAATCCTGCCACTGGCTTGTTACTTTTGGAAGGAGAAAAAATGTGATTAGCTTCACTAGAGAATAAATTTTACTTGTTTTATGTATCTGAGATGGATATTTATTGAAAATCTTACAAAGGCATAAACAACAGACAAAAGCGATGAGGAAGCTGGTTTTTAAAAAAGAGTGTGTGATTTATGAGACGTACCGATCTGGGATTCAGCTACTAGGGTGGTTTGTCGATCACACAGTGGAGAGAAGGGGAGGCCGAGCTCTGCCTCTCTATCACCCTCACAAAGATAGAAAGAGAGAAAGAAGATACTTAAAGGGCATCCCACACAACACCTGAAAATAACTTTTAAAAGGTCAGTTTGTTCCAACAGTCGCCTCCTGAAACTATGAGACTGTTCAAATGTTTTTTAATTAGCAGCCAAACAGAAAGAAAACGTGTTTCATAGGTACGCACACGTCTTGTTTCTGAGACAACAGCGCTCTCCCACACCTCTTCTGTTCTGATCTCCTTCAGATCCAGGTAGTAAAAAAAGCAGAGTGGGAGCAGCTTCGTGCAGCAGTCACTGTAAATACACTCACTACAGTCGTGCCAACTAACATCGACAAAAAGCCAGACAATCAGGACAGCAAGCATTTTCTCTGTGGGGTAATTATGTTCTCATAGTAACTCAGACATCAACAGAAAGAGTCCCTCCACCTGATTGGATAACTGCGTCTCCTGCTGAGCTGAAGAACAGCTATAGCGTCAGCTGATGCTTTAAAGTCAAGACCAAAAGCCACTTCTTGCAGTCCTCAGCTTTTGGCTCATTATATTGTTTTATTATATACTTTTCCCCAAAGGTCAACAAAAACATGATAGCTTGACTTTCTATTTGGGGTTTGTGAGGCTTTAAAGGCAACAACACTGATTCTCTGCAGTCCTCTATTTCCCATATGTAGCCCTTTAAAGCCAAGTGCATTACATTATATATGACATGTACATGGGTTTTTGAGACTACATAAGATCTGGAAAAAAGTCATAACAAAAAAATACATTTTTAAGCAATGAATTACAAAATAAAGCAAACTTTATTTTGATATTGAATTTATGTTTTATTATTTTGTCAGAATGTTCAATAAACAATTATTATTAAAGCAATTATTTCATGGTTCAGGCTTTTAAGGGTTAAAACTTGAGCTGTTAAGATCGATTAATTTTTTCAGTACCAAAGTAATGCAGAATAACCTGTTAGGAGAGATTTTCCTTCTCTGCTGCCTCTGCGTCATATCAACGAGATATTTTTATGGATTTCTTTAGCTCTGACGTAATATCCACCCTCCCTATACAAGCAATTACAAAAACTGCTGCCTCTTATTAGGCATGCAGCCCTTTGACTCATCAATCATGCAGTTAATAACAGAGCTAATAAGTCAGATGGAGACCAGGGAGCACCGGGGCAGATATGGAGATGTCTAAGAATATAACATAATGTGTTCTTTTATATTTTGAATTTACATTTATTGTGTGGCAAAAGCCTGCGAGCACCGAGAACTACAAATGAGCTGGCATCTAAACCACATGCAATCAAGGACAACCTTTGAGACAGGCTACATAAACTCTAATGCACTTTTGTTTTAGAAAATGACCGCCATCCTTACTAACAAGCCTGAAAATCAAATCACATATACTGGGAAGCCAGTGCATGTAAGTGCATGTAAGAAGCCGAATGATAAAATGCTGGATTTAACCGCTACAGGCAACAAAGTATATACATCACTTTTGTTGGCTTTGTGTTTAGGGCACAGCTAATGGCAATCCTAACAGATAAACAACAATAGTGTACAGCATAACATGTTAGTCGTCAGCAAGGTCGAACGACAGAGGCCTGGCAAATAAGGGAAGTAAGTGAAGGCATAGAGACTGATAAGATCTATAGAGGAAGTAAATGTCTAATATGGTAGGATAAAGAGAGAGGCCTAACATACTATGCACTAAGCTCTCTCTGAGGTATGGCTTCACATTTTTTCACCACTGAGGAATCAAATTGGAGGATTTGGACGTCCTCTACAATCATCTACAATCATCATTCATCTGCAGAGTATAGTGAACAAGAAAGCTCACAAATTTGAATCTGGACTCCAACGTGGAATCAGTGATGTAAGAACAGTGGCATCACAGTGGCTACACTTTATTTTTATCCAGTAACAAGATGTCCTGTTTTAATTAGTGAGTTTGGAAGTTAGCAGGCAGATTTTCTTGTTGGTTGGCGAGATTAAAGCTAGTTGTTCCCCTTGTTTTCTGTATTTGCACTAAGCTGAGCTGGGTAGCTGCTGGCTTAAACTCTTTATTGACTACACACTATTTACTGTTCATCTTCTCATCTAACTGTTGGCAACAATTAGTTTATTCTTTTATCCAAAACAAATCTTCTTTCAGCTTCTCTCTTTAGGTGTTGCCACACTGTCCTCCTCTGTCTCAGGTCTTCCTTCATTATATCCATGAAGGTCCACATTAAACATGCTTTGTCCACTTTATGCTCGATCCCTCCTCTGCACATGTTTAAACCATCTCAGGCTCATCTCTCTAACTCTAACTGATGTACTCATTTGTAATTGTGTCCATCCTCGTCACTCCCAACACAGAGAGGACTACGTTTGGTGACTTTGCCACTGACTCTAAGCCACATGTCATAGCCAATCAAATCACAGCTGACACTCTTCTCCACGCACTCTGCCCTCCCTGCACTCTCTCCTTCACATCTCTAGCTATCCTTGTTGACATGAATCCATGCTCATCACTAGTCAAAATAGTAGTTATATTGTGCTTAAAAGTGGGGGGTAAAGACCCACTGAGCAAGCACTTTTAGAAAGTAGAAAAAAAATTCTTGATAACAGGAAAGAATCTGCAACAACACAGGCTCAGAGAGGAGCCTGCCACTCTGCCCTTGAATTTGTGTGAAATAAAAAGAAGAGCATAGCGAGATGACAAACAACAAATAGGAAATATCTCAGGCCTGTTAAGCAGAATATATATATATATATATAGTGCCTACCTGTCTGAAAAACTCCTCCATCAAGGTTTTGGTCCAGCGAGAGTGCAGCGCCCAAGGCTTGGATGGATGACTTATGTCAGCCGTGTGCAGTAACAGAGACAGTGCTTTGGGCTTGTCAATCCTGGTGTAGAGAGCATAAGGCAATCACTGTTTTAACTGTTGTTTTGTTGTGTCTCCAGACTGAAAAGCAGACTAAACAGCAGCCAGCCTGAACCTAAACTGCCTGCATCATGTGCAGGCTATTCTAATCAGCTCACTGCACTCCAAGCATCCATTACATGGCCTGCTGATTATGCGCCACAGTGCAAACAACAGCACAGTCTATTAGCAGTACCGTTCTTGTTGTTGTAGACAGGATTTCATCGCTTTGACTTGGAGAAGGTGGGAGGACATGTCCGTGGACAACACCATCTCTATAACAAGTGACCGCAGCTCCCTGTGAGAACGCACACACACAAAAACACACAGTGTACAAGTTGACCTTGGCTGATGAGGAGTGAGTAAAAATGACAGACAGGAAGGCTCAATGGGGTTGTAACCTGTTTAGATTTCCTAATAGATTTCCTTGTTCCCATGGCAACACTGACTGCTAGAAAAGCCCACTAAAGCATGCAGCTGGGGTTTATCTTGTGTGATATCAGCACAGCTCCCCCAATCGCATATTCTGTGAGTAATATATGAAGCAGCAGCCAACAAAGAAACTATGCAGAGTATAGATATGCTGTTATCGCAGACTGCACCGCAGACCATCAACTACAGCTAACTTTTACTTTAAATGTATGTATCACAACATTCCTATAGCATCTACCAAATGCAACTTCTTTACTACATTTCCAAGTTTAGACGCTGTAGTCAGAGTTTGTTATGTTTGTTATTCCTCTGCTGTTTGGTGAATATGTCGTTACACGATATCTTAGGAGGTCAAAGACCAGGGTCAGCTATAAGAGACACTGTATGCTTTCCCATAAGTGCACTAACCAACTTGAGGTCTGGGGGCTGTTTCCTTAAAGCATCAGCATGTCACTTTACATGTAAAATAACGATAATAAAATAGAATAATGACATAATTATAAATGTTGTCACAGATAAAAATCGAAATGTTGCCAAAAGCCACAAACTAGCTCCAAACTACAGAACTGATATTTAAAACTAGTGAATAAATGTATTGCAATTGTTTCAGTCGATTCCATATATCCATAATAAAATAAAACAAAATATTAATTAATAAAATGTTACTTTTTGGCCAATTAGTTTTTCCTAGAGGTCACATTGGAAACACACTAAAATAAACAAATTATAGCTTTGCTCTCCTACATTCTCCTGCAGCATGAATTCTCCGTTATTTATTTTCCTTCTCGTAATGTTGTATCACACCTATGCATATACACGCATATGAGGACTTACTGCAAACCTAATCTACATTTAACAGCTGTCGTTGCCCAGATTCTAACTAAATGTTGCTGTTGCTGTTGGTTAAAACCTCATTTATAACATTGTTAACGCATTTATTTCTGGAGGGGACTTTTGACTTTTCAGAATGCCCTTTAACACCAGCAGATCGACGGGGACATTTTTACACAGGCTTGTGAAGTTCATACATACAGACAGCAAAAACGTTTCTCCAACAAGAGATCAACAGGTGAGCAACTGATCACACAGCTAATAGAGGAGGGAAAACTTTTCTACGACCTATTTATGTCTCCCTGTGACTGTCTGCTCGGGAGGGAAAATGGGTCATGATTTATAACACACAAAAATTAATTATTATTAAGGTTATGAAAATATAAAAATAATATTAACACTGTAAAATTTTGAGGTCTTACATCCATTCCTCCCGCGTCAAATTAATAAAGATGTTCATTTGGTCGTCCAGCAGTAGGCGGAATGCTGCACTCAGGTGATGGCTCTCTTGTACAGACCGGTCATTGTAGATCAATGCAAACTCTGACCTTGGAGACAAAAGGTGAGTGGAGATTATTACAGACAGTCGACGGACAGATGGGCAGGTTGTAAAGTGTTCCTGTGCATTAAAGTGAAAACTTCAATAACACAGTTGCTCTGAGTGAAGGAGGTGAGACTGAGATAAAAGGAGAGTCCTCTGGGAACAATTTAATGACTGTGACTGCAAGCCTTTAATGATGAATTTTAAAGTGCTGAAGAGGAGGTGGGATGTAATGAAAAATGACACAGTGTGGGTATTAATGACTCACTAAAGTAAGATAATTAACGGATTTATCAATCAAGCATCCTGTATCCACTCATTGTCATTCAGCTGTTAAAATGGGTAATAAAGCCCACTGTGGACAGTTTTCCAATTAGTATTTATTTTTAAGCTTCTGCCACCTTTCACCAGTAAAATAAACATTGAATAAAACACTTAAGGAAATGGTTTTAAAGACAACACAAAGGTGTGTGTTAAAGTGGTCTGTTGGGGAGTGTAAAAAGTGTGTGGTAAAAAATGAAAAATACTGGTAAGACTTCTGTGGGTCTGTAATTTCCTAATATTCATGATTCAATTCAATTGAATTTTATTTATACACCAAATCACAACAACAGGTGATTCAAGGCACTTTATGTTGTAAGGTAGACCCTGCAATAATGCATACAGAGAAAAACCCAACAATCATATGACCCCCTATGAGCAAGCACTTTGGCGACAGTGGGAAGGAAAAACTCCCTTTTAACAGGAAGAAACCTCCGACAGAACCAGGCTCATTTATTCATAATGTTTTTCCTTTCATTGCTATGCAGATGACAGAGACATACTTAAAGAAAAAAAAAATCTAGTGACCCTAAAAGTCTAGCTGATGACTTTATAACTATTTAGTCTATATAGTTATATTTCATAAATACTGGGTGGCACATTTTCGTCAACTCAATACCTGAAAATTATAAATTATGTTACTTAATCTTACAAATTACAGTGCAAAAGTCTCATTTCTTTATATTTCTGCTTGGAAAATGAGAAAAAAGGCAAAAGCACCCAAAATGTGTCTTTTCTTGATGAGGCTTCAGTGGACAGCAGATCATCAAACAAAACCCCTCAAACATTCCTCTGAAAATGGTTAAGACACAAGAACTTGATGCTCAAGACTTTTGCACAGTACAGCACAGTAGAGTGCTGTTCCTTTGGTAATAGCCAGGTTAGGCTACTACGTTCTCCTCTGGTTTACATGGAAAGTTAATTTCTTGGCTTCCTACTCATTTTAGCAGACACACATTACCCCGATCCTGATCCCCTACTAGCTCTCTGCCTGTTTTAGAATTGATTTTAAGTGCAATCACATTTAACACATGTTCGTGTCTGGCCCTGTGCCACATTCAGGCAGCACTTCTGCCTGAAAGTTGAGGCTTAATGTCAAATGCAGTCATGGCTTTCGCATCAGGGCCTGTCAGCTATGAAATGAGGAGAAATGTTTGAAATGAGGAAGTCTCGTAGAATCAGAGGCTTCCAATAAATCACTTCGTAAAATACATTTTTATAGACGTGCGTTTATGTGATGCCATTTCATGTGATGTCGTCCTTTATAGGTTTTTAATGTTTGAATAACATCTTTCTCGTCTTGCATATTATTTCTGGGGTTTTCTTTTTTAGCCTTTTATTATTTGTTTTGCACCCACATTTTAATCTTTCTTTTTTTCATTTGAATCTGTCTCCACTTTAAATAAATTGCACCTGTTATTTTTGTTGTTTTATTTTCTTTGTGTCCTTTTGCTTGTCAGGCAAGGCACTTTGTAAAGTCTGTTGTTAAAGGTGCTATACATAATAACTTATTGCATTGATTTTTCAGCCCATATCATATATATTACATATCTATCTCAAAGTCAGATGATGTTCCAAGTAGAGTTACTGACTTTGGGATAGATCTGCTGTTCAGATGTGCTCTTTTACTGTGGGCAGGCATCTTTGTACTTTATTCCCGAAATAAAGCATGATGATGATGGGTGCCATGAGACTACGTTCTTCAGTCCTCCTAAGTGGAAAGTCTAAAAATACGATGTTCTGTCCATGAAGTTGTGTTTGCCTTAGAGGGTTCTCACTCGCTCTCTTACTAAAACGATACAGAGGAAAGAGGAAAACTATACTGAGGTACGCTTTAAGAAAGTGTACCTCAGTATTTCTGTACTTCCTGATATCTCTTACTATTTTACAGTTTCATAACAGGAGGTGGCTCATATATAGCTGAGAAAATATTGCAGAAAAAGAGCTTACTTTGTGTGGATGTGAAAGTTATTTGTAGTTCCTGTGTGTTCATAGTCATGGATGGCTGCAGCAAACAGGGATGCCATCACCTCGAGCTCTGTCAGCCAGTGCTTGATAGACACAAATATAAAACCATTAAAACAACAGTACTATAATGTTTAAAAAGAAAGTACACCATCTTTCAGTTAAAAGTTTTAAATATATACATGATAAAAGTCATCTGGTCCTTATCTGGCCTTAGAAGTAGCAGAATACAACCACCCACCAAGGTGGTTGTATTTGCGCACCACAGCAGCTTCACCCATGACGCTTTTTATAGCTCCACATTCATGTCCAGTGGTGTAGGTGCTTGCCCACACAGAGCCTACAAGTGTTAAAAATATGTAAAGTGTCCACTGCAGTCACTGTCTGTGCTTTTAATGCAGCATTTTTATTTATATTGGAATGTTTTATGGTTCGCTTGTATAAGTCATGTGCGTCCAGTGATGTGCAGTTAGGATGTTGGAGCACCTCGGGGTGGGGGGTAAAGACCCCTTTCCGCTCATTGTCTAAATGGAAACATGTACAACGGAAATGTACACAGACACATTCGCAAGACCATAAATTATGCTTTACTCGCTAAGCCAAAAGTCTGTATGTGCAATATTTCCAGAGACACCCTTCATAAAGGTCAGATGATGAAGACAGCAACTCATAGAGTGCATAGATACAATGTAACAAGTTGAAAGTCCTGAGATGGGAAGTCCCTAACGTGGGGAGGCCTTGAAAAACATAAAGGCCATCATCTCTTTATTTAGTCTCCATAATTTTCACTCTGAAACAGCAGTGCTTAGTGGGTTAAAGAAAAGTTAGAATGGAACAGATCCTGTTTCCCTGCAACACCATCGCCACCAAAACAGGAAGTTTCATTTCTATTGTCACAGGACTGCAGGCTCTGAAAGTAAAAGTCATTTTGGAATTTGATTGTTATTTGTGCTCTACAATCGATCCTTACTGTGGTGCTAAAGTCAGGCAGTGACTCTGGTCATTAGCCTTCATCTTCAGGGTGATAATGAATGCCACATGTATTTAAAAAAAAAAAAATGTAAATGCAATCCATAAGAGTTGTTAGGATATTTTAGTCTGTCGATATACTTCTAAAAAACATTTTACACCGTGTAATCCACATTTGTAAAAAGAACAAATCACTGCAAATTAGGAAAGTGACTCCTAAAGAAATAGGTTATATATTTGTTACCTATTTGTCTATTCAGTCAAAGCAAATGTGACACAGTGCCACAGAAAGGCCAGCGAGCTTGGAAAGTGTTAAAAGGTGGGCCGCTACACATTCTTCCTTTTGATTTTTTCATGGAATTTTCAGAAAATTAAAAAGAAAAGTTATCACACCGGCCTTATCCTTTAATAGAAAATCCAGGTTAGTCTTTTGTACCACGAGTCCGGAGCGCAGCAGCAGACAGTGCAGTGTCTGAGTTACATCAGCAGCGTGAACGTGGTTGTGGTAGGGGTTGTTGTATTTGCAGTATCCTCTCTCCAGCGCAGACAGAAATTCTGTGAGGCACGAGATGGGAATCTGCAAAAATGGTTACATAATCATCAAAAGTAAAGCTATGTTTAAAATACCACAGGTTCACAAAGTTTATGTCAACAGTAAAAGCTAAAACAACCTGGATGTTGTAATAAGGCATGATGCATGTGATTTACACACATAATTTGCTAACCCATTAGCCCTCCAAACACCACAAAGGATAATAAAACCCATATGCCTGATAATATCTGCAAATGACAACACCAGTTCCTCACAATAATACTCCTTCAGAGTGGCTCTGATTATATTACAGTGAGATCTTCCATCCAAAGCACTGAAATTCTCCAATGACTATAATGAGTCATTGTATAGACGATGAACTATACACAAACTAAACAATGAAATGCAAAGTTAAAAGACCTTAAAGCGACTGTTGAGCTCATATCTGGTGATCAGCTCAAAGAACAGAGTTCGGAGTGCATGATCAGAGCTGGCTGAGTTCAGAGCAAACACATCAAAGCTCCAACGGTCCACGTCCTAAAGAGCAAGAGAGGAAAGTACTGGTGTATACTTTTGGTGTGTATACGATAGATTATGTGATGTCCATATTTTTAGCTAAGATCCAACCCACTGTGAGAGTTATGATTAGAGGGGGCTTACCCTGAGGCAATTTACGACCGCTGCAGGTTGGTCCGGCATGGCTGCTGTGTAGGCCCTCTTGAACATCCTGGAATAAGGGAATGTTTAGGGTGAGTTCAGTTAAAGTTCAGATGTTGACGCTGTGCAGCGACCTCGGTTTAGGAGCTGTTTATATAAATCCTCTAAAGTCCCTGTCTGCTTTGGAAGGAAGTTTTAACAAGAAAATGGAGATAATGTTTCACAGCCGTGTGTAGCGGGCTGTGTTTGCTGTGGACGTAATAATAACAACAGAGTGTGAGCTTGTATCGGACTTATTGCACAGACAATGAAATCAGTAATTTATAATGGGACTTTTATTATATGAGATGCTTGTTTCCTTGTTTCTTATTATTTAAGTTTCATAAAAGAGAGTTACTGCTGTATGACTGCTTCTGTGTCTTCCAGTCAGTATTTTATGAATTGCTGTTTTAAAAAACGATTCCAGGGTTTTGAGTTCTTGTTTATCATTTTGAGTTTTGCATTCAAATTTTGATTTCATAATGATTCTGGTCATGACACGTTGAGCTTCCATTCTTGTTGAGATTTCATTGTCATTCTAGTGATGTCAGTTATTGTCTGTTATAGTATTGAGTCTTTGGCCCCAGTTTTTATTTTATTTTATTCTGTTCTCGTATAGTTCTCGTTCCCCTGTGGTTCCCTGTGTTTGCTTTTACCTGCTGTGCATCTCTCTCCTGGTCTTCTGGGTAGCAGTGTCCCAATTTTAGCTTCATGGCAGGTTTTCTGTGGTATCTCATTTACTTTCTGTCTTTTCTTTCCTTTATGATCTGCTCCTCTTCAGCCTTTTTTAGCTTCCTTTACTTGTTCCTCCTGCGTTCTGCTCTCATAACTGTTCTGTTTCCCAGTCAATCTCCTCTGTGTATATATTCTGTATAGTTTAGCCTCATTGTTTAATCCATGTTTATGTTCTGTGTCTTTCCATCATTTTTGCCTTTTAGATTTTTTTGTCTGGATTTTCTGTTTTTTTAGATTATCATGTCTGGGTCTTTCTTTTATTTCTATAATTTCCCTACAGTACGTCCTGCATTTGGATCCTTTCCATAACATCATTCATTATGCTTGCAGTTCTGAAATAGAAATGAATGAAATGTAATACCGCTCCACAAATATCCCAGCTTGTACTGCATGCACAATGCTGCGAAACTTGGGCTTCTCATCAGAGCGTCGCGTAGGACGGCGGATCTTCTGGGTGAAAGTGGAAGCCAGCCAGTCGGTGACCTCTGACGGCACCCCGTCTGACTGCAGTTGCTGGAGGTCATCTTCAGACTCCAGACACTGCCTGTGTGAAACAGTGACTGTTAGACAATATTAAGACACGGTAAAAATGAAGACTGAGAATGAATGAGCAGCACTAATAATGTGCCTTTGCGATATCACTGTGGTTCAGAGACGTTTAATGGTGTAAGGATAATTTTATATTACACAGTTAGATTTATTTAGAAATACTTCCATTAACTGTCCAGTCAAAGGTTTAATTAAAAAATTTAATTTCAATTGTATGTCTGTTAAATAAGCTAAGTAAGAAGTTACTACTCCCAGAAAGACTTTTGGCACTTTTTACTCTGGTTTTTATGAAAGGCAACCAAAAGAGACTTCATCGTACTGCTTCCACTCAAATATTAGCAGAGAAACAGCACCTAAAATTGCAGAAAGCAACATGTTTTTTTTCCACTCTGTTTTCTCTATGACACACTGCATCATAAAATCCTCCGTTCCACACTTCATGGATTGTGTACCTCAGGCTTTGTACATCAGGCTACCAGACCACCATTCCTGAAAGACCACTGTCTGCTGTTAGACACTTACATGGCTGCTGTGCTGATGACACCAAACTTTTCTTATCAGTTTCCTCATCTGACATGCAGGGGAAGGCCTGAGAAGTCAGGAGAAAAAGAAAGTTTTCATAGGACTCTATGCAGTCCTGTGAAAATCTAAGTACACCCTTAGTGAATCCATAGGAAATAAGAAAGTAGGTAGCTATCAGGAGCTAATCAGATCCCCGTGATTAATTGATCATCAGAAGGTGTGGGCACTTCTATAAAGGCACAGGCGTTGTCATTTTGCTGGTGTGAAGCATTCAGGTGAGTGCAACGAAACAATCTTTCCAGGAGATTCACAACAAGGTCAGACCACGCCATGAGGTTAAACACATTACAAAAAACCCAAGAGCTACAGCTCGGATTCTACAGGCCTCAACCAGCATATTAAATGTTAAAGCTCATAACAGTACAATAAGAAAAAGACAGAACAAGTACAGCATGTTTGGAAGGGTTGCCAGGAAAAAGCCTTGTCTCTCCAAAAAGAAATTGGCAGCACGACTTAGGTTTGTAAAGTTGCATCGAAACAAACCGCAAGACTTCTGGAACAATGTGTTTTGGACAGAAAAGACCAAAGCTGAGATGTCTGGTCATAATGCATGCAGCTGAAAACAGTCATGAACAATAGTTTTCAGACTAGTTTAGCAGAACCTGGGCTCTTTACACTCATTGTCACACATGAACTCCTCTATATACCACAATATGCTAGACTCAAATGTGGGGCCATCTGCTCAACCGCTAACTTGGGTGAAATTAGGTCATGCAACACGTCATTGATACCACACCAACAATCTAGAGCAGAATTGCTGAAAAAGAAAAGAATGAAGGTGATAAAA